GATTATTTCCACAGGTAAACACTGTATTTATTACATTCAGAAAACAACAGGAATTTACATAGCTGAGCCTACATGTAGTCTTGTAGCATTTTTCTTCTCCTTTACATTCATAATAAACATGAATTATATATGGAGACAGCCATGCTTTGTTTAAACTGCTACACTAAGTACTCCTTGACAGCAGTAAATCAATGGTTTGCTTTCTCATACACTTTATTGAATGTAATAACTGGAAAACAAAAAACAAAAAACAAAAAAACAAAAAACAAAAAAAAAACAATTAATTCAAGGGATAAACAGTGATTCTTTGCAGCTAAACAGTATTAAAAGAATACTGTTCTGTTGTTCATACATTTGCTGTTAAATTACTGCTGCTACAACATTACTGGCCTTGGATTTTATTTTTCTCATTATTTGATTCTCAACGTTATTTTGCATAACTTAACCCTATAACATAACTTAAAATGATGGCTGCAAAAAATATTTCCTCACTCTCCAACTAATAATTAACATTAGCTTTTAAAGATAGTAATCAGTTTTTCATTTCTATTTCTGCCAACAAATTAAACCCAAAGTTCTTGGTACTTTTTTTATTGCCAGTATTGGTATAAATTTTACTTCCAAGTATACATATGATACTAAAATGTCTGTAACATCCTCTGTGAGTTCCAGTTAGGCTGTTTGGATACATTAGGAGAGAATAAGTGAGTAAAATTGTTTGGAAAATGTCTCATTAGACTTCTGCTACATGGTGCCACCAAATAAATGGTGGAAGCAAGATTGGATGTATGGTGACATGCAGTGGACAAAAATGCAACATTAGATAATGAAATTGCAGAGCTTATTCCAGTTTGTAGCTCCTTGTTTTAGAAGTAGAGAAATAGGAACAGCTTATGGGAGAGAAAGAAGTATTAGGTGGAATAGTTGTGTTTTTTTGTATTTGTTGAATGAACTCAATACACATCTTCTTAGGACTATCTCTCTTCACCCTTGCTGATGCTAATGCTTTTCTTCATTAAGTGTTGGAATGCTGGATAAAGCCTGCACCTAATTCTTACTGAATGGAATTTATTAAATATTGTGAGCTCAAACTGTCCCTGCCTCATCTGAATTCACTTCCTCCACCAAAAATTTCAGTTAAGAGAAGTTTGATTTGCTGTGTAAAGATCCAAACGTGTAAGAACATCTGATTATTGAAAAGTTGGAATATAGACAGTCTTCTAAAGATGAAAGTGACCAGAAAGAAGAAACAAACTGTACACTTTGACTTTTATATTAGTTAAGTGATTGAATCTCCATGAAAATGTGCAGATGCTTGTACGGTGGTCATGTTCAGTATGGTGCCCTGCAGACTTTCTCCATGCTGTGTTCCAAGGCCTGAATGTGATTTTTGAGGTTTGAGGAAATCTGCTCTCCTCTCCTTGTAGAGGGGGAGAGATTATTTCTATATATAGAGAAAATTGTACCTGCGATCTATTGTACAATAGATTGTACAATATGTACAATATCAAAGGTATTTCTTAACCTTTGATTCAGTAAGGATGGAGATTCAATCCATTGCCATTTGGACCATTAGCTACCTGTTCCTGGAAAAATGTTGATTAGGATTGGTCCTGCACAGGCTTGGATTTGAATATTGCATGCTAGGCAGTAAATTGAGTCACTTAGCAACTTTGACTTGGACAAACTATTTGCTATAATTTAAGGACTGGACCAAGTGAGGTTTACTTCTAAAGAAGAAAAACATTACTATTTGTTTCTCCCCTGTGAAGCTTACATTTTCTCCGTTATAACCTACGTTCTTACATTAAGAACTTAAATAACAATTCTAGCAACCACGTAACTGAGATCAATGCATGTAAGTCATTATTGGTTCCTGTTTGAGGCTGACAGTGACTAAATCTGTTTGGGACAGGAAGCAACCAAAGGCATGAGCTTGCCTTTAGGAGACAAGAGGCTTAATTGTTAGCAGTACTATGAAAAACGTCTCTTTGCTTTCTGCCAACTCTGTGAAAGGATTCTGAATAGTTTGTGTGCAGCCAGAAGTATTGATGTTTAAATGATCAAAAACTCAGCTTTGAACATTTTTTGTCTTGAGGCCTGGGTATTTTCTTACACTTTTTCAAAAATGAAATGAAGCCATTGTATAGCAGCAGAGGGAAGACAAACAAGCTCCTGTTATACAGATGACAGGATGTTAAAAGTAAAAATCCTAGAGTCATTGTGAAGTGTAGAACTGTGTATGACTTCTCCTAGAAGGTGTTTCAGATACAGGGAGAAGTAATTAAAAAATCAAGTAAGCAACCTGATTCTGCAGTGAGTTGTTTTGTTTTTGTTTTAAAAAAAAAAAAAAAAAAAAAGGAAGAAAAAAATAAATCCTCTTTATTTTGTCCTTGAAATCTCAGAGAGAGAGCTACTTCATAAAAGCACCGGAGGTATTTTCCAGTAACTGAAAGTGGGCCTGGGTCATTTGCTGTAAGGATCTGATGCACTTTAATCCTTAGGGTTGTTCACTGAATTTCCACTTAGGCATTTACACTTTCTCTCCCTGACTCTTGTACTGTCATATCCATTAGCATGCTAAAAAATCCATGGGTGTGTACCTAGCTGAACAACTGCTATCAAAAGATTATCTTCCATTTTTGTTTGAGTATGCTGAAGTTTTGTTACAAGTTGTCCTAAGTACACAGATGGGCCATTGTCACCAAATTCATAGTCACGTCTCATCTTTCATGCTCATTTTAATGTCACTTGGTAACACAAGAAGGTAGGGTGACTTAATGTGTATTTCTTTGCATTACTGAATGATGCGAAATAACAGACATTTTGCTGAAAATTTCTACTTGAAAAGCCTGAAAAGCAGGCCAGGTAAAAACTTTCAAAGTTGTTTATTTAAAAAAATTCTGTAATTATCAAATGAGAAAGATTATAATGGTTGGATAAGGCTGTCGATTCTCAAAAGCCAAATGACAATGAAAATAAAATAGGACTTTGAATTCAGATGACCTAATTTTATTTCCATTCTCCTACTGAATGGTTTTAATAACTTGTAAGGACAGTATTGTTCTGCATGATCACACTGGTCTTGCATCTTCTTTTAAGGTATGAGTCCTCCTCTTCAATTTTTTTTTTTTTTTTTTTTTTTTAATATAAATTACAGTGAAATTAAAATGATTGACAATTGAGTTTGTAAAACAGTATGGCAGTCATGAAAGTGAGGCTGGTTTTGATACTGCCAAGATGCTTGCTGGCATTTTTGTTGCATTAAGGGGAAAGAAGAAAGTCAATTCGCAAAGAACATTTACTGTCTAGGCCTCATTGTCCTTCCATTTTGTTTAAACTCTTTTTAGATGTTTGATGGAATGTGGACAGATAATTGAGTGTAGGATCAAGTCTTATTCCTGGAATGGCTTTTAGGGCTGCTGAAGTGAATTCTCTCAATGCAATAACATCAAAAAAGCTTTAAGTAGAACATCTCGCATCGTGGTCAAGGAGATTCAAAATGTAGCATTGTAATAAGCAAGGTTGTTAAAAATAGGCCAGCTGAAGGCAGTAGGCTTCTCCTATACAAACAAACAGTGCTCTTCAGCAGAAAAACAACAGCAAAACCACAAATTCAGAGAAGGAAAAAAAAAAATTATTATTACAGCATACAGGAATAAAATGTTTTTCATTCAGTTGTGTATAGTCACTGCTTCCTTTTCCCTGTACCTACAGTGTATTTGAGTCTGCCTCGCTGTCTCCTTCGGTTCAATTGAAGGTGATAATCACTTGCTGCCAAACCAAAAGGAAAAGCAAACTGTTATTCTCATGGCAGTAACAAGGTGGTTTTTTTTTTTTTTTTTGTTTGTTTGTTTTTTTTCCAATGAAGGAGCATGTGTGCTCCAATTATTTGACTTCATGTCAAAAAAAAAACCAGATCTTGGCTATGTTTGCTTTCTGCTTTCCAGTCAACGTGCTTACAGCACTGTATTTTCTAATCTTTCTGGTGTGCAGGCTGACATTGCAGCACCACTGTATAGTCTGTTACCTTCTGTCACATCTACTTAGTTCTAAAGAAACATGTATATACTAAGACACAACCTGATGAAACACAGCACGTTGGCAAAATAAAGTCATGCTCCTTGGCCTTGGGGACAAGTGCAGAAACTGAAATTCTAATACAAAGACACTGCAGGCAATAGTGCATTTGTTTACTGCCCTCATTGATAAAACGAAAATCATTCCATTTTCAGTGATGACAAATTCAGTAATATTTAAAGAAAACATTTGCTAAAATGTGTGATCTCAGCATAGGGTTTGTTTCTCATTGCCTGTTTTTCAGATGTTAATGGGAAAATTATAAATGAAGAGAGGACCAATGTAAGTAATTTCTACTGCTTATTAGAAACCAGTTAAATATGTGAGTAAACTGCAAATGAGCTTTTTCTCCAATCTCATTCATGAACTGAATTTTATTCTGTAAAAATGTATGTTTTTCCTGTAGAAAGAACATGTATAGAAAGCATGCCCTGACAGATTTATCAACAAATTCAATTAAACTAAAAGCTAGAATGTCTGCACTAGCAAAATTGTACATGAGAAATTGCCTCATGAAGTTAATGATAATACATTATGTCTACTGATGATCCAGCCTTCTGGCTCCAGTAAACGTTTAAAAACATCTAAAAGTAAACCAGAATCCTTTCCACTGTCAAAACAAAGGAATATGACCCTTTTAAACTTAACATGAACTGAAGGCTCATAAAGATCTTACAATTTCTTTTTAGTAAGGTGTTTATTGCCGGTAGAAGATAATGAATGGATATATTCAGGAAATAAAGCTACTGCTCAACATTTAGATGAAAGGGGGGAGGGTTCTCTCTACAGCTACCTAGCACACTGCATTCAATGGTTTATCTCTTGTCTTTTCCAAGTAGAAAGGAAATTTCATTATAATAAATACCACTTTTTCTGGTAGGCGATCAAGCTGGGGAGACAGATTATTTAACACCTTTTATTAAAACATCTTTTACTACTTAGGTTCACATACATTTATATTATTAATAGAATCAAGCTTTCATTATTAGGCACAGCTTTATAATAATTAATTCGCACCATACATCCACTTACAGTTCAGACACACACATGCTCTCATAGGGTTACCTGCAGTTACGTGGATGGAGTAGGAGTAGTAGCAATAGGAGGCCAACGGGGAGAGTGGCTGGGAGACCCTTTAGTGTGCATCTATTACACCAGGGTCTTTGTCAGAATACAGCAACCTCCACCTTCCTGGATATGATCCATGTGATACAGCCCATTGTTGATGCTACTATGTACCAGCTGCTTTGAACAAGTTCAGTACAATTTGGAGTTCTGTCGGTTTTTGCAGGTTCAGCTGGACCATCAGTCCTTAGAAGAATTTAAACGCTGTTTCTTAGCATGTGTGTATCTTCTCTTCAGCCTGCTATTTTCTGTTAACCGCCTGTCCATCTACATGTTGGCTCTCCTAAATCCATATCTCACAAAGGACAGAACTTTCACAAGGGTTTACACAAAATGCTGATACGCTGTCACTTGTACACCTGCCAAGTTATACACAAAAGGTGGAGATCCATCTTCAAATCCATACTGTGCATATTTGGACTATATGACAATGCTAATTAATGAATAGGTTCATTTTCTTTACCCTCCTGGCTTAACATATTTGCAGCTCTTTTTGAAAGGCAATGTCAGTTAAGTAATTCATGCACATGGAAAAGCCTGTTCAGGTAAGAAAAAGAGCTCTCATTTCTTAACTTTCAGGTTCAAGAAGGAGAAAAAATACCATTTATTGGATTTAACTATTGACCATACCATTGATACTTTGGGAATGAAGGACTCTCTTCCGTTCTGTTGGAGTGTTGCTGGATCTTGTCTTGCTCACATTAGTCATTAACTGAAGAATAAGAATGTTGATTTTGCTGTTTGAGTACTATCTGCTTGTTATTTTTTTTTCATGTTGGGTACAGGTTGCTGTCTGTTAAAAGACAAAAGAAAATCAATACTAGTGTTGAAAAGGAACCTTGTGTATTCAGCTTTGCAAAGTTCTCCTGTGAGCACCAAGAAAAGAACTAGTAATAAGGGAAAAAAAGAAAGCAAACAACCCAAAGGAATGTCAGACTTAATTGCCAGTGCGCACATAAGCAATATTGTTTTTCCAATTGCAAAGAACAGAGTAAAAAATAAAAAGGGGGTAAAGCATTTTCAAGTAAGATACAAATAGACTGATGACATACATTTACATTTCAGCTATATGCTTTTATATCCTTTCATTTAATACTGATATATCTTGAACAGTTTGTTGGTACAGTGTCACAAATTGAAAGAGAAAAATGAATTCTCTGTATTTAAAATATTAAGAAAAAGGCAAGATTTTTATTTCTGTTGTTGGCAAAAATTATTGAATCATCAGTATAATCTTTTACATTCCAGTCTCTGAATATTTCAGTGTGTTCAACTGGGCATTCTGAAGACGAGGAAACCTTAAATAATTTATAATCCTATCAGGAAAAAAAAAATAAAAATGTTGAGTCTGCAGTGCTACATTTTGGCTCTTTTTGTTTTTTTGTTCTTCTTTAAAGTAGTTATGCAATATTCTCTGCCTGCTCCTGAATTAAGACACAGATAAAAAAAATTAAACTGAGATAACAAGCTAGATATTGAGCCACTAGATTGTGTTTGATTCTCTACTCTATTAATCTCTTTTCGTCTAAATTTCACACTAAATTTCTGACCAATTTCTAATTAGTTATGAGAATATTTTTCATGTACCTTGATACCACAATGAGAAGGCTTAGGAAGAAATCTGTAGTGTCTCTTCTGTTAAGAAGCAGAGCATATCCTTGAAACACTTACCTAATATGACTAGAATTAATGACGTCTGGTGCTGGGCTTCTCTGAGATTCCCATATACTTTGTGAGTTGCTTGCCAAGTCAAACCTGCTCAACACAATTAGCTTTTCATGTACTAACGAGAGCAGGAAGAGCTGCCAGCAAAGAAGACAAGTAAAACAATCCTAAAATACTTACCAGTTTGCTGGGAGGTGAGACAAGGTACACTGTAAGGACGGGTTGGGAAAATAAAAAGCAGGCTTGATTGTCCTCTTGTGCACTGACACCATTTCACAGAGAATATGTAACAGGAGAAAAGGAGGAAGGACATCAGCTATTAGACACCGATGATGTCTGCCAGTTCTGTGGCTTTCACTTCACTGCTTCTGGTAGTTATCTTGTAAAAACCTATTTAAAAGAAGCAAGAGTGCAAATGTTAGAGTAATACAAGCCACTGTGACAGGTTGTAAGAAACTTTAAGCTTCAGTCAACTGGTCAATCTTCCCTCTTCCCTCGTCTGTAGTATTAAGTGTTTTGATTGATGATTCTAGATTCTGAGACATAAAGTGTTCAGAAGGATAGAAGGAGGTTAATAGTTGCACTGGCCATTTAAATAGGAACTATTCAGAAACCAGTCAGAGAACAGTGCTCTGTGGACAAATGCAGATACACACTCACCTATCTGACTACATGTATATATGTTTCATTGAATTAACTTCACTCTTCAAAAAGCTTACACTAAAGGGACAAAAAGCGAACAGTCTGAGGGACGTGGTTTAGTTTCCAAGGAGGTGATGGGTTGATGGTTGGACTACATGATCATAGCGGTTGTTTCCAGCACTAGGGAGGCATAGTCTAAGCTTAGAAGTCACTTTTTCAGCAGATCAGAAAAATCTGCCAATTAAAATCTGAGTGCTTAAATGGAATCCTGGGGCATATTTCTTTAGGAACTTTATAGGTAATCACTAGAAGAAGGCAAGATCTTAATTTTGCACAAAATAGCCATTCCTTCGTCACTGTCAGGCTACAGTTCTTTGGTAGAGGTTTTTTAACACTCTCTTGAGTAAACACAAAAATAACTTTCCCAACTCCCATTCAGCAAAGCAGTTTATGTTTATACTCTACATGTTATCCAATTAAAAAAAATATATCAAAAGCTCTTTGGGACTGTACTTATTTTTTAATGAAATCAATGTCTGCATCTAGTTACTTATAAGTAACTCTCAATAACACTTCCTTACGAGAAAGTTATTTCAGCTTCAGGCAGATAAAAGGATTATTAGAAAACTGTGCGAGTGTGCATGCATGTTGAAACATTCTTGAAGAACTACTTGGACATCACCTCGAGCCCCTATAAACAAAAATAACTTTCCCACTAAAAGCAAAGGAGGACACAGATCTAAATGTGATGGATTCTGGACTGGTGATAACATCTGTGATAAACACACAAATACCCAACCTTTTTGAAACCATAACTATGGCAAATTTTGTCAAAACTTTAAAAAACAAATGTTATTATTTAATCTACCCACTGCTATCTTATCATACTTATTAGGATTTTCTCCTGTAGCATACCTCATACTATGCAGTAGACTCACTATGTAAAATACCAGCAAAAAAGGCTGACATAATGACTCATTACAATTTAAATCTTATTACACAAAGCTTCATTCAAGTCAATATATATAGTACTGAACCGCAGGGGTACATTTTAGCCTGGTGTGAGCAGAATGAATCATGCAATTCTCATCACAGTTAATAGAAGGAACAGATCTATTCCTGCATGTAAGCCCCTGGAAGTGCACCACACAATTCATATTTGAATCATACTTCATGGGAAGTGGCTACTCCAGTAAACAGACAAAGTGCACCAGCATGTTTTAAACTTTAAAGTTCATCTGATTCAAATTTTTTGGAAAGGACATTTCCTCATATTAATAACCTAGTACAAATGCATCATTGGCACTGATGATTATTCCTAATTGCCACAAGGATAAGTGGAGCCTTTCAGGAGCTTAAGAAGTAAGGGGCATAAACCATATTAATATGGATCAAGTTTGTTCTCTCTGCTCGTTATCTTTACTGACAGACTGCTATCTTTTCCCTTCCTAGGCTCTTATAAACACTGTTGTCCATGCAGAAATGGTTATTACTGAACCTGGCTGCTCCCTTATTGAATTTTAGGATATATTTTTAATTATTATTTTTGTATCAACTATGCTTGAAGACTAATAGCTTATATACTTATGGTTTTAGTTGCTTGTTTTACTAATGGCTTGTTCCAGCTAATTAAAAGAAATCTCCAGGAAATCTCTTTCTTCTGCTAAGTAGGTTGCACAAACAGCTTCAAGGAGAATGCATCCTTCTAGCCATAAATCTGTACTTATAACCAACTGCCAAGCCTGACTGCATATGCTGGAGTAGTATGCTTGTAACTTCAGTTACACATGCCCTCAAAAAGTGATATTTATCATTAATTATTGGTTGCTTTTTTTTTTTTTTTAAATAAGTAACCTGTAAAGTATTGTTAATTATGGATAATGCTCCTGTAGACACAGCTTTTACTGAGCATCTTTCTAGTTCTTTTACTGCAGTTTAGAGATTTCAATTATGTATGTGAACTGCTAGAAAAAAAAGTTCTATCTTTTCCTTATTTTTGCACAACATGAACCTCCCCCCCCCAACTCAACTGTAATTCAGATAGCTTGCATTGCTTATAAAACTTAAGTATAATCAAGTCATTTCTCCAATTATCAGAGAGAGATTTTTTGAGAAACAAAGTTGGATGTGTTTTGAAAGCAGAAGCTATCTTGAAAAAAAAAAAAAAAAAAAAAAAGCTTCTTTTAAAGATGAAAGCTGTATCGAGTGTGCATTTGAATTCATTTGGAAAAGAATTCAAATAGCCAAAATCCTCAAAGAGCAGAAAGGTGCAGGTTACCAGTACAGCGCTGCTTCTGCAGAATGGCAGCATCATCAGGAATTCAGCTTCATTGCTGAGATTTCACAGAGAAGCAGTAAAGCACCTCTTATCCAAAGGGCTTCCAAAGGCACTTTCTGAAAAAGCAGGGTTTCCATTGTGTCCGTGTTGTGAGCCTGGCAGAGGTATTCATCAACCATTATTGATTTAGAAGGAGGCATGGCTGGAGTGAGGAGGATTGATCTGAGTCCTCCCTTGGCTAAGTTAACTATTTGAAGGATCTATTCATATCAAGATGAAGCACTGAAGAATGACCTACAATGACAAGAAGCAGGTATCTATCTTTGCAGAGTGTGTGTAAAACTCTGGTTTGCTGTTCTTGGGTTTGGATTTTTTTTTTTTTTTCCCCTCTCTCTGTTAGCTTTTAGAAACATTATCTTTGTTAAGTCTAGTGTTTCCTGTTATTTTTCTTTCCAGGAAATTATTTGAGGAACTAGAATGACAGCTTCTACTGAGATGATATGAGAAAGGGAAATGGGAGAAAGATCTTTCAACTTTCTATTCATTAGTCTGACTTGTGTAAAACCAAATGAGATAATAATACCTTAACTGTACTGTATTGGTCAACCTCCCTTGTCCCAAATTTCCTTTTAATATATCCAAGGGTTATTTCTGTGGTCAGTATTGCCATCCTCGTCTTTTCTGTTTTTATATTAGTTCTCTTCCAGAAGAATCTATAACTTACCTTTCTCAGAGAGAGGACCAGGGGCTAGTAGGGCTCGGGAGAATCATTCTTGGATACTCTTTGATGAGGTCCCTTACTTTGACACCAGTTGGACTTGGACTTTCCCATCTCTGTGATCATTGGGCCGTATTTCATCCATATGTTTTGTCCAGCTTTAATCTTACATCCTCAACACCTTTCTTCAACAGATCTTATGAGTACTGATTTCTTTACTGACAGCCATCCAAAATGCTTCTGCAAGGAGCATTTCTCTTCTGTCACATCACAGATAACCTTCCTGTCACTTGCCGATTTGGCCTTTCCTTCAAGTCGTCATTTCACGTGAAGTACTGATACATCAAGTGCCATCACTGATTAACTTCTGATCTCAGCTTGTTCAGTGGTTTACTAGAGCAAGGGACAAACACATTTGTTCTTTGCCTTGCACTGCTAGTCACCGTGCAGAAGTCTTTTTACAGAAACAAGCCATTTCAGCCTTTTCCCCCCCCCACGTCTTTCTTCTCTCAAAAAGCCTTTTTCAAGGAAATGCAGATACTTTTTTGCTTATATGCTCCTGGCCCAAGCCCTATGGCTTCCACTTGGCTGAACAACGTAAGATTTAATCTCTTCCTAAAGAAGAAAACAAAAAGCTACACACAAATACAAGAAAATGAAAACAAACAGATGCATCTTTCATTATTTTTCTATTAATTCCAAATAAAAATACTCTGTTACTACTCCCACAGTAAACTTGGAAAAGGTGAAATTGTGTCTATACAAAATAGATCCTTTACATGAATTAAGCTATTTATCAGCTTTGAATTCTGCACATACTAACAGCTGAATTGTATTTGGTACACAACTTCAGACATCTTTTTCTTTGTGATTATTGTAGTGACTAGCACAACAGGCTCCTTAACCTGTGAGTAGGGCCACTGTATGCTACAGTGCAAGCAATTACTATAATTATTTAAAAATATCAGAAGCAAGACTAAAGAATCAGTGCATCAGTTTTATAATTCTATATAAATGCTACTGCAATTTAAACTGCTGTAGTAATTTAGAATGTTGTCTTTAGAACCAGCTCATTCAGATCTGACAGCCCTGTAGGAAAGGAATAAAGAGAAGATCATAACCTTTTAAGGTAAAGAATAAACATGGGATTCAAAAATTCTGAGTAGCTCAAGGTCTTTACTACGTTTCTTGATTTACTTTATTTCAAGATCTTTATTAATTTATGTGCGTTAATCATTATATATTTAAACCAATGTGTGTGCGCGTGTTTGTGTGCGTACATATAGATAAGTAGCTAGCTAGATTGATGATCTTTCCCTGCTCAGTTCTTTGCTTCATGCAGTGAAGCATCAGCTATTAATGAGATTTTATTCCAGAGGAACAGATTAGAGTCAGTCTGAAGTAAAATCCCTGGAAATATACACAGTATTGATGTTGGGTTTGTGTTTCAGCATTTAAAAAAAAAAAAAAAAATTAATGTGCACACAGAAAATCCTCAAGATTTTAATTATGAGAAGGAAAGTTGCACTATTCTGTTTTAAGGCATTCCTGTTAAGTGAGAACTAGAAATCACAATCGCTCTTTTTCATGATTCATTAATCTAGGGAGGAAAGATAAATAGCCCAGTTCTTCTGAAAATAAGTAAATTTAAAGAGAAATCAAGGACTGAAAAGGATACACCTGTCTAACATATTCTCCTTTCAGAAGGAATTTCTGTTATGGCCCCCAAAAAGATTAGGGTTCTGAGAATTTTGTTATTTTATACATCTCATCTTTGCTGCTAAAACCACCAGACTGCTTACTGTCTTCCAAATGAAGTGATCATCGAATCATCTTGTATTTCCATTTTATTGCCTTTACATTTATGAATCACAGCATATTGATTTTATCCTTACATTGCACTGAGTTAGACTCTCACTTAATAGACAAAATGACTATTTGCTTTTTGTAAACCCTACTATCTCTATTTCTTTTCTTCTCTGCACTGTAATCTGTGACTTACAATAGGCCACTGCTCAGTAAAATGGTGAGGTGCTAGTTCAGCCTAATATTGTTCTTTTTTTTAGAATCTGACTGCCAGTCCATTGTTACTGCACTTTTCCAGTACATGCTCTTTAAATTATCTGACTTCCCAATAAGTTGAACAGTGTATTATATTCACCTGAAACTTGTTCGGATAATTATCTCATACAATATTTGATCCCTTCCTAACATTCAGTGTTGGCTACTGTTCCCTATTTCATGCTGTGCAGTTCCAATTTATCATTCAACTTTTGTAACGTTGAATATTACACTGAATTACACATCATAGTGCATTCAATCTTTGCCATCTTAGATGTAACACTGGATTGTCATTACAGCACCCTTCGTTAACTTTTTTGTTTGTTTGTTTTTAAGCCTTTTCTCACTTCTCCAAGGTGATTACAAGTTTCTGACCTGTGTCCTGAAAACACAGTGGAAGTTCTATTTCATACGCTTAATGAGTGAATGTGCTTCGTAACATTTGTTACAAGTGCACATCACCAAAGCTCCACCAACTCATACTTGGCCTAAGTCTGTTTCTTAACCTACTCGTTTCCTGCCAACATGAGCTTTTCTCATGTTTTTACCATAAATTTGTTCATATCCATTTTTTATTAGGAGATCAAGTAACGTATTAGATACTTTTGCCTTTTCTGGTTTCTTTGCAGAAATTAATTCAGACAAGAGAGCCTAGTACTCTCACACAATAGCTTCTGCTTTTAAAATAACAACTTAATACAAAACAAGATGTAATTAATTCATTATGCTTTATAACTGTAGACTTCCTCCATTCTCACAGGGATCCCTTAAACCAACATGAAGTACATAGATTACTCAGAAAGTAATGCCTCCTATTTATTTCCATGGAAAATATGATAAAAAGAACATGATAACACTATTTGATAGAGCAAATTCTCAGCTACAAAACACTGTTTTTCAGCAATCACCACTCTTAGCTGTGCATTTTCACCAGCAAAGAACAAGAACATGCATACTGTGCTTGCATAAGTCTGCACCAGCTGAGATGACTCACTGCCACCTCTGCTGAAAAATACCACCAACTGACTCACCATGCTCATTTCAGTTGGAAGGTACCACTAAAGGTCAACTAGTACAATTCCACTGCAATGGACAGTCACTGTTTGGTCTCTATAACCATTCAGCAAAGGTATGCCAAAAAGTGCAATTTTCTTCTAGAGAAATATCATTATTCACTACTTATTGCCCTCAACCTTTTGTCAGCTTTGATCTCCTTACAAATTTTGCAGATTTAGAGCCACAGAATCGTTCAGTTGGAAGGGACCTTTAAAGGTCACCTAGTGCAACTCCCCTGCAATGAACAGGGACACCTACAGCTGGATCGGGTTGCTCAGAGCCCCGTCCAGTCTGACCTTGAACATTTCCATCCGCCACCTCTCTGGGCAACCTGTTCCAGTGCTTCACTACCCTTATTCTTCTGAAGAAATATCTTCAGTAAAAAAATGAAAACAAGATTAGCATCTATTCTGAAGAGGCTTTTTTCCAGCCCACTGTATAATGACTGCAAAAAGAAAGAATGTTGAATACACAATTTTTTTTTATTTATTATTATCAATCCCATTGGTTTCAAGTATCTATCATTGCAATGCAAATTAATATATAGAACACTATTATTAAAAAGAGAAACTGTGAAATGATAAACATGTCCAGAATCTGCATAAATGCAACAAGGAAAAGGAAATCATTTGTTCTCACAGTAGCGAGACATATTGGTACTTTTGCTAAAGTAGAAGATCTGACCTAACTTCTCAATAATTAGGAATATTTCTGAAACTTAATCAAATATTACATTTAGAAATAGCATAATTTTCATTTCCTTTGATTAAAATAGATTTTAGCAATATAGCCTCATGTCTCGTACATCAAACTCCAAAGAAGCAATCAGCACAATAGTTGGTGGTAAGAGAACTTAAACATTTTATTATGGGCAATTTATTATATGAAATAGCACTGAAAATTCATCTTCTATTAATTTTAATCAGGGGCTAGCATTTTAGCAGGCCAATAAGCCAATAAGTCAAGCAAAGAGCAGATTAACTAAATGTACATTGGAAAAGACAGTACAAAGCCTGCATGTAGAGTAGCTTCTCAGCTGCTCCAATTCTTAAAGAGATTAAAAGGTATGACTGTTGTGTATCTCTTCAACTAATTACCATTCTGTATAATGTTAGCTTCCAAGTTATTTCCCTGGTGCTCTCCTAACAGCAGTCTGATCATTGCTGCCTGAGACTGAAACCAGTATAGGAAAAGCTGTACTGTAAAAACCATAAATTTTACTACACTGAAAGTCTTCTCTATTCCTTTTCTTTCTTGCTTTAACCCCAGTGTAGAAAAAGAGTCCTTACCCCACTAAGAAGGCAGTCCTTAGATGGAAGTTCTACAGCTATTATTTGCCACTCATTTCATCTATCCTCAAGCATATTTCATAACCTCAGCCACTTGCTAACATAAATTAAGTCAGCTTTTACACATAGAGTTATCAAAAATATGTGAATGGTGAGGGAAGCAGTGTCATCACAAGAGAAAAAAAGCCTGTTTAAGTTAAGCTATCTACTCCTTTGACAGTGAAGCAGGGGGAAGCATGGCAGCATTGTTACACAGCACACAGCTGAATGATGGCTGAACAGAGCTTTCAAACCTTTTAATCTGTTCTTTGATCATCTCTGAAACAGATCAAGGCAAAGCCATTCCTTTCCTCTCTGACAAAAAGTAGTTCTCTATGTAAACATATCCTCCTATTCTATATGGTATCAGAAAATTGGATATATCACCTACTTACTCCATTGCACTCTTCTCAGTACAAAGGCCTGAGCCTAGAACTGCTTTGGACCATGTCCTTCATTGATTAGCCTGAGTAGGGCAATGTCCTTCCTGAATTGAGGCTGGTATGACTGGTAATAAGAGCCGTAAGGAAAGCTAGAAGAAACAGAATTGTTTGTGTAGAGGGCCTTCAAAACTGGAGAGGAATTCTCAGAAATGACGCGAGTCATTTGGAAGTTGATATTATAAGAATCAATAGATAGCTAGTAAGAAAATATAGTCCTGATTGGAGTACATTCATCCAAGTCTTTGCCATCTCTGCAGAACAGATAGTTCTGTAGTGTATGTTAAAGATGTGCTAGGACATAGACTAGCACAAGAAATCAATCCGTTTGGGTCAAAACATCTTTTGAAAAGTATGCTTAATAGTCATTGAGAGGCCATGGGGATTCCTTCTACGTGGTTTAATAGGTTAATTTAACTCATGACTTGATATTTTTCCAGTATTTATTAAATGGGTGGACAAAAAACACTTGTAATTTTGAAATTTCCTCTTACTGCTACCAGCAGCAGTTAGGCTCATATGTACTTCACTGTGAAATTTCACAAGG